AATTTGGATATATCAACAAAGTTGAAATGGTAAATTGGCCACCGTAATGATTACAAAAGCTGACGTTTCGAGCGTTAGCCCTTCGTCGGAGCGAATAGAGGAATTGTGGGTTGTGTGTGCTTTTAAAGGCAGAAAATGGAGCTACGTTATTGGTGGGTGCATGGCAACGAGAAAAACATGAATAAATTAGTGGAATGAAAAGCGTTCATTGATCCCTGTGGGATTTAGACTGCCGGTTTGAAAGATGAGCTTTTGTTCAAGATTTTTACGGCTTTCCGTGCCACCTAAGTGCAAGGAAAGACCGCAGATTGCCATATGTTGCTTAGAATGATTAGGTAAATTAAAATGTCTAGCGACTGGTTTCGATGGAATGACAAGGACACATGTTACATTTTTTTAAGAACAGTTATAAACGATTAGAACATTTTATCTTATAGTTTTTAGAAACTTTGTAATTTTAGATTTTTAGCTCTTGATCTTTTTCCATAATTAATTAGTTTTTAATCTTTTTCAATAATTATTTGTAACATATTTTAAGAGGGCCACTAGTTTGTCAGTTTTATACTGTTATGTGTTTTACCCTCTTTAACTAAAGTTGATTATTATTATTATTATTATTATTATTATTATTATTATGGCACAAGTTTTTTTTACAAAAGATTGCATCAAATTCCTTAAATATCTCCGCCATACACAGGCAGCCAAAGCTCACTACTGGAAATGCAGACGTGACTCTTGGTTTGAGTGGTATAGTTTTACAAACGGTTATTTTGTTAAGGTCTGTATGGGATGTAATCGGTTTGCCTTAAAAGCGAGAAAAAATGTCATGTTTTGAAATAAAACTGACTTACCTTATTGCCTTCTTGTATTCTTTGTTCATTACCAACGTCTCAGGCCATTTTGAAGAGTTTTTGGCGAGTTAGCACTATTTCGGTGTTCCACTGCTAAAAGAAAGCAGTAATACACTTGACATTTTTTCTCTCTTTTAAGGCAAACCAATTACATCCCATACAAACCTTTATAAATAACCATTTGTAACACTATACCACTCAAACCAACAGTCACGTCTGCATTTCTAGTAGTGAGCTTGGACTGCCTGTGGGCCATACTGAGCACGTGGTCATCTACTACCTCAAGGATCGTGGAGGGCACGAAATTTATGAACAGGCCGAATTTTTGAACAGAAAAAAATAAGCGATCATGGTTAACAGGAAACCAAGATAAAAATATACTTACACGACACTGCTGAGGGACAGGGGTCTTCCTTTTTCTTTTCCTGCTTCCTAGCTCTTGTCCTGAATTTGAAGAGCTCTCTATTTTTGCACCGAGTTCTGCGAGGATGCATTTCTGCTCGTTGTCGCGCGCTTCCAGCTCCTCTCGAAGACGCACGTTTTCAGCGATAACCCTCTCTAGCAAAACAACGTATTGATCTTCCATTTTGCGGATGAAGAACGTTAACGATCACGAAGCAAAAAGGATAAATGAACTGAAAAAAGGACGCTCACAACCGGAAACATCACAATGAAATGGCCTTTAATCACGCCGACAAAAGGGCCCGCCGTGTTCCCGCCAGTAGACGAGATGTACTGATTGGCTTTCTTCCACAAAAACGGTAGGTGATTGGCTGAAGTAGTTTACTCTAACCCAGTATCTTCTCGGTCAAAAAGAAAGTTGACATGCGTAGTGTTGTCCTGTTTGTTACATACGTTCGGCGCAAATGACAAAATTTCGGTAGTTCACGATTTGGAAGATGTCTTTATGGAGTCAGTCTCGCTTGAGAAAACAATCTAGACTATGGTGTGGCCATTGCAATGAATACTTATCGAGAGCAGCTTTCTGGAAACATCGTAAAGCTCATTACAATGTGCACAGTCAACGTTGGACGACTATAAAAGATGACGCTGAAAATGTTGAACAAGAAGCAAAGAGAGGAAAGTATGATCCAGAGTTCCACGAAGAACCGGACCTATCTGATTCTTCAGGTGACGAGGATCTTGAGACAGCTATATTTAATCGAGGTATGTAGCGGCTTATAACTATTCAAGACTGGTCTTAAAACATAACAAGATACTAAGAAAATAAATGCTAGACTGACGGATGCTCTAAGCGAAGAAAAAAAAAACATAAGCATGCTAGCTGCCCCAGTTCCTCCACGTAATCCCAGCACAGGGTTTAGTACCCCCTAAATTCATCTCCATAGCGTACACTACAAAGCCCTGAAACGAAGAAAACTAGCCATCCAGAATTAGTGTTAATGTTGCTGCTGGAATCTGCCATGGACACATTTCAAAGCCCATGCAGCATGCCAGGCTAACAAATTGACCTGACCAGAGGAAGGGAGCGCACAGTTCTCAATAAGTCATAGACTGAAGAGTCACGTTTCGTGTAATCAAACTTGGTCATGGTTTTTTAAGCTTTATGTCAACATTGGCTGCTAGGCAGTTGATATATATGAAACAATAGGACTCCTGACCTAACAGTAAGCAAAATAGATTTTAAAAGATTACAACAGTATTTCCACCTAGTCTTCTTGGTTATTGTTGCTGTGTGCACATATTTTTTTTCTCTCAGGCAAATTGGAAAAGGCAAATGGGAATGTGTTGGGTTGAAATGAAAAAGGATTTAAAGCAAATGTCAAGGGGCTATAATGTCACCGGGCTTAGGTTTCTACATAATTTGGAGATGTTTCATTACTTTTGTTTAACAGGTTCTACCCAAGTTGATGATTGTGAGGATTCAATCAATTTGGGTGACGACGTAGACTTTCTCAGTGCAATGAATGACGATAAGGACGGAAATAAGTCTGATGAGGTAGATTTCCAATGTTATACCTATATTGTTATTTTGAATTTAACTCAAACATGTAAAGCACACACTTCTGTAACAAAGCTAATTTGTAATCACTGGTGTAAACTCTTACATTGTACATGTAAGTCTTGTAATACCTCAGTTTTGTAATATTATTATTCCAAACACAAGCGAGGCAAAGCTCGCGATTGTTGTTACAGTCTCCTCGGAGTGCAAGCTAACTTGAGTATCTGGGCTAAACGTATAATCTCCCATTAAGTTGTTGCATGCACATGTTCCCTCTTGTGACA